GGGCTGTAGGGACCACAAGCAAAAATTGGAACAACAAAAATGTGAGTGGAAAGTGGAAAAGGAAAAGCAGGAAGGAGGGGGATGATATTTTCTTTACTGACAATGAGGAAACCGTGCAATATGACAATGGGTCTGTGAAGAGAATTCTTTCGAAGCCAGTAGACGAAAGAGAATATGTTGCTGATATGTCTTCTCTCAAAAAAAGGAAGGTTGTGACTAATGATGTCGGAGACGGTAGAGGGGTGTGGTGTGATCCAAACCCTCGAAGAGCAATGAAAATCTTGAGCTGGAACTGTCGAGGGTTGGCCAACCCTCGATCAGTTAAAGCTCTCCGAGATTGGTGCTGGAGGGAGCGGCCAAATATTGTCTTTCTCATGGAGACAATGATTGACGAGGTTAGTTTGTCTAGAATTAAAAATAGATGTGGTTTTGTTGATGGTATATGTGTTAGTAGTAGAGGTAATTCGAGTGGTATGGGTTTTTGGTGGAAGGATTTAAATGTTGTTGTTCGTACTTATTCTATTCATCATTTTATTGTGGATGTTTGTGATCATAATAATATTCCTAAATGGAGCGCGGTTGGGGTGTATGGGTGGCCGGAACAAGAAAACAAGCATTTAACATAGGCTATGTTGAGAAGAATAAAATCTAGTAGTGACTTACCGTGTGTGATGTTTGGTATTTTAATGAAATTGTAAGCCATGAAGAGGAAGAGGGGGGAGTTCCGCGGAGTGAGAATCTTATGGATGCTTTTCGGGGTGCTATTGATGATTGTGGGTTGAAAGATTTGGATTATATGGGAAGTATTTTTACATGGAAAAGGGGTACCTCACTTTCAACTTTCAAGAGAGAGCGTCTTGACCGCTTTCTTGCGGATGGGGAATGGTGTAACATGTTCCCTTCGTTTGTTGTCCGTCACTTCCCTATCTACCAATCGAATCATGCTCCAATCCTGTTGTTTACTAGTAATTACTATGAAAGAGGAGGTCGCAAGAAGGTTTTCAAGTTTGAAGCGGGGTGGCTTTCTAGTGAGGAATGTAGCAAGGTAGTGGATGAGGCATGGACTAGTAGTGTGGATAAGGATGCTGCTAGTAGGATTGCTTTGTGTGGAGAAATGTTATCTTCATGGGCTGCAAAAAAAATCGGTGATATCAAGAAAAAAATCAAGGCAACCGAAGAGGCTCTTAAAGAGGTACAAGACAGGCTACCCGATGCTACTATGTTCGAACAATGTGTGGTGTTATCGAGTAAATTAGACGAGCTTCACCGACTTGAAGAGTCTTATTGGCATGCTCGTGCTAGGGCGAATGAGATCAAAGATGGAGACAAAAATACGGCCTATTTTCATCATAAAGCAAGTGATAAGCGCCGTATTAATAGCATCATGGGTCTTTTTGATAGCAATGATGTGTGGAGACCGTCCAAAGTAGAGCTAGAGGATACAATAGCAAATTATTTTGAGGCTCTTTTTAGCACTTGTTCCCCAACCAACTTCAAACCTCCATTAGAGGAAATTGAGACTGTAGTGATTGAGGATATGAATGGGCGGCTTTGTGAAGATCCGACACCGAAGGAAATTAAAGCTATGCTTTTCCAAATGCATCCTAACAAAGCTCCGGGGCCCGATGGTATGCATGCTCTTTTTTATCAGAAATTTTGGCATATTGTTGGCTGTGGCATTGTTGATCTTGTGTTATGTTGGTGGAGAGGTGAGGTGACCCTTAATTCTATTAATAAAACATGTGTGGTGCTTATTCCGAAATGTGATGATCCTAAACGTGTGTCCGATTTTAGACCTATTAGTTGCTGCAATGTGGTCTATAAAATAATTTTGAAGGTGATGGCTAATAGGTTGAAGCCTTTTTTGGAAAAAATTATCTCTATTAATCAGAGTGCGTTTATCCCAAAAAGGTTGATAACGGACAATGCCTTGGTCGCGTATGAGATCTTTCATGCTATGAAGAGAGGGGGTGAAGGGAATGAGGGCTCCATTGCCCTGAAACTTGACATGAGTAAGGCATATGACAAAGTAGAGTGGGGCTTCTTGGAGAGAGTGATGTATAAGATGGATTTTTGTGATGGTTGGGTTCGAAGGATCCTGGATTGCTTGTCAAGTGTCTCTTTTTCCTTTAAAATAAATGGGGCAATCTCAGGTTCTGTAGTTCCTTCAAGGGGGTTGAGGCAGGGTGATCCCATATCTCCGTATCTATTCTTGATTATTGCTGATGCTTTCTCTACCCTCTTAACAAAAGTCACGTCTGAAAACTTGATTCATGGTGCTAAGATTTGCAGGGGTGCCCCTAGGGTATCACATCTATTTTTTGCCGACGATAGCTTACTTTTTGCTAGAGCTACTATTAGTGAATGCTCAGTTATAGCTGACAATATCAGCAAGTATGAGAGAGCATCCGGACAAAGTGTCAATCTGACAAAAACAGATGTTGTTTTTAGCAAAGGTGTTAGTGAAGATCGAAAGTGTGAGATCGTTGATATTTTGGGGGTACGAGAAGTAGAAAAACATGAAAAATATTTGGGGCTACCGACTATCATCGAAAAATCAAATAAAGCCATTTTTGCAAGCATAAGAGAGGATTTGGTGGAAAATCCAAGGTTGGAAGGAGAAACTCTTATCTAGGCCCGGGAAAGAGATTTTGATTAAGGCGGTTGCTCAAGCGATTCCGACTCATATGATGAGTATTTTTAGAATCCCGGATGGTCTAATTGATGAAATTCATGTTCTTTTAGCTCAGTTTTGGTGGGGTTCGACGGATACAACAAGGAAGATGCATTGGCATAGTTGGGACTCATTATGCAAACCAAAATCCATGGGGGGCATGGGTTTTAGAGATTTAGGAGTGTTTAATCAAGCCCTTCTTGCTAAACAAATGTGGAGATTGTATAACAATCCCAATCCTCTACTCCACGCTATATTGAAAGCTAGATACTTCAAGAATAAGTCTCTTTTGGAGGCTTATCGAGGGTATGACCCGAGCTACTCGTGGAGAAGTTTATGGGGCTCGAAATCTTTGCTACTAGAGGGTCTTCGATGGAGGATAGGTAATGGGGCTGATATCAAGGTTTGGTTGGACTCATGGATTCCTGGGAATATAATTCCAATGCATGATAACTCCTTTGATCCCGAATTGCGCGTCTCTGAGCTCATTGATCTACAATGTGGCAAGTGGGATGCTAATATTTTGCACCAACATTTCTCAGATGAGGTATGCTCACAAATTCTCCAAATCCCTTTGTCAAATAATTTACCCAATGATAGGCTATATTGGTGGCCATCTGTCAATGGTGATTTTTGTGTTAAATCGGCTTATTGGTTGGGTAAATTAGGGGCTGCAAATGTTAATAATGATAATGATAAAAATGTGTGGAGAATTGTGTGGGGTTTAGGTGGCCCACCAAAGCTAAGCCATTTTGTGTGGAATGCTTGTAAGGGGAGTTTGGCTGTTAAGAAAAAGCTTCATAGGCGTCACATTGCACCTGATGATCGTTGTGGGGGGTGTGGGATTGAGGCTGAATCCATTGCCCATGCCTTGTTTGAATGTAATGGTGTACGACAGGTTTGGAGTCGACATGAATTGGATGACTTAATTGCGGATTCTCCGCGTCATAACCCCTTCTCTGAGTGGCTTGCTTGGATGAGCAATAGAGTGGATCGAAATGTTTTGCGAAGACTCTTGACAATTGCTTGGGTTGTTTGGTTTTGTCGTAATAAACTTGTATATGCTAATGAGCAGCTCGATATTTGTTTTGTGGCTGAGGGCTTCCTCCGTATGGTCCATGAGCATAGCGTGTATGCTGGGAAAGTGTTCCATTCCCCTCCGTGTGCTAGCACTTCTAGTGTGTCGAGATGGATGCATCCACAAGCTGGGTTTGTTAAAATAAATGTTGATGCACACGTTGGTATAGGGTCGGCTGGTGGATTGGGTGCGGTGGCTAGAGATAATAATGGGAGAATCCTATGGGCTGCCACGAAGAGGCTTGCGGTGTGCTGGGCTGTCGAGGCTGCAGAGGCAACATCAGTGCGTTTCGGGTGCAGCGTTGCTAGGAGAATGGGTCATTCGAAGGTCTGGATTGAAGGTGATTCACAAACTGTTGTGAACAAAGTAAGCAAAGGTGTTCTTGGTTTTTCCCCAATATGGCTGATTTATGATGATATTAGGAAGCTAGCTAGCTCCTTTCATGCTTTTAATATTTCTCATGTTCGTAGAGCAGGTAACACTGTTGCTCACCTTGTTGCAAGGTGGGATACTCGTAGTTCGTCGGAACTTATTTGTATTGACACTATTCCGCAAGGCACTTTAGCCTTGGCGAAACTTGATTTGGAATAATAAATCCTGCTAACGTTTCCCCTCAAAAAAAAAATAGTCAATAATAACATAGATATATAGTTACAAACAAAAATATACATATTATAATATTATATTATCATAGGTCTTAAAATCATGCATGATCAAAAGGGAATTAACATTCAAGTTAAAAGTTATTCTATAACTTTATCATCAATCTATGCCCAAACACAAACTAGTTTCAATTAAAAAAATCCTTGTGCAATTTGTGCCGTGCAAGTCCTCCCTATTCTATAACTTTATTCATTCCTCTCTAAAATCCCAACGTTAGTGAGTGTAACGCGGTCTTACGCGCAAAATCAAATTACATTTTCAATTAAAAAAAAAAATTAAAGTGAATAAATTAGGAATAAATTGAAGAAAGCCTCCCATTTTCAGCTCCCACCCCCCCCCCCCCCCCCCCACCAACCAATAACTATTTTTAAAAACTCACACGCTTAAATATCATTTCTATTAAAATATCCCATTTTTCTTAGCCGACAAATTTTTTATCTAAGATCAACAAAAAAAGAGTCATTTCAATTTGATCTGGGTTTTTTGCTAAATTTTTTATTTTCTGTATCATCAAAGAAAGAATTATTCTTTTAAGGTAATTCTTCTTCTTCTTCTTTTTTAATTTTTTTTAATTGTTGGTTTTGAAAATTATTCCTTGTTGAGTTGATGTAAATTATGACCTTTGTTTCCAATTTGAATTTTTGGTATTTTAAATTTTGATTGTAGAAGTTTTTAGAGGAATTAATTGAAGAATATGAAAATTTGAGCTGGGTAATTGACTAATTGCTGATTGTGGTATAAATCAGATAAATTGGCGTCTAAATTAAGCAAATTGACTAATTTTGCTGTTTATGGGAAAAACTGAAGCTGAAATTGTTGGAAAATTATGAACTTTGTTTTTTTTTAAATTTTTTTTTTGGGGATTCTAAAATGTTAATAATTGCATTTGACTTTTTTTATATGATAACTCATGATCAATTACTTTACAGGAGTTGAATTTGGAGGAAAAGTAATTCATTTTGTTTTCTTATTTTATGCCTAAACTTTGGATTCTTTGTTTTTTAAGACATGATTACATATTTGGGCTATCAATTAATTTAGCTAGATAGACGAATCAATTTAGAGATATGTAACAAAAAAAAAAAAAAAAAAAAAAAAAAAAAAAGAAAAAAAAAAGAGGTTTCCTCAAATTCTTTTGTACTTTTGATGGTGTTGTGAGAAGTGATCGTTCTATTTTATGACTATAATGGACATAATCAGACTCGATCACCTTCTTAATTAATGTAATTTTCGGTATCATTCGATTACTTTTGCAGTAGTTGGCTGTTTGGTGGCAGGGATGGCTTGTTTTTGCATAACTAGCCGCCTGTTTAGTAGGTTTTTGATGGTTGATTTCGTGCCGCGTTAAAAACGTTCCCTATAGCTTCCTTGGAGTTTCTTCTTACCCCCAAAATGTAGCAAATTCTTTCCTATATTTGCTAAGAAATGCAAGTGTGTAGATTTTGTGGGTTTTTGTTGTTTGTTACACGAATGGCAGGAGATAAACTTTCCGAAATGCGTCATACCTTAATAAGCGTGGTTGAGTGTTTCTAATCAACATGTGGAGCAAGTGTTCATCTGCTGTTACTCTTGTTAGTTTGTTTTTGTTAGGCTGTCTGTTCAGAAATTCATCATAAGAACACTGTTGTTGATTATATCAGGAATTTAGCTGACTTGCCTTTTCTGAACCTCTGTAACATGATTCTGTAGAATTTTCCAAGCTCTTGTGCTTATTATATCCTATAATTTCCATCTTTCACAGGCCTCCATAATCTGTGTTGTACTCCTCTGTCAAACTTGCTGTGTTTTTGCCCTTCATTTGTGCTGATAATAGAAGAAATCATACATCAAATGGTGACAAATGATATCCACAGTGAATGTTCTAGCTCAACTTCATGGAGTAGTCAACCTGATACAGAGGATGATAGGATGATAGCACTTATGCTAACTGAAGAATACTCTCAACTAGATGGTGCTGTTGCTCGACGTCTCACTAACCTTGCTCCTATTCCTGTAAGATTACAATTTTTTTCCCTTCACGATACTTGTTAGCCGTATGGAGAAAGCTAGAAATTACATTTCTGTGTGCTCCTTAGTAATAACCATGAAGTTATTTTTATTGTTACAACAAAAATTTTAAGTATTAGCTTGTAGTATCCTTTTTTTTTTTTTTTTTTTTTTTTTTTTTTTTTTTTAATCCTGGTATACCAGTGATCCCCCATTATCATTTTCCATATCTTAAATTCTCTTCCCTGCCCTAACCAACGTTTTTTTTTACCAAATAATACTTTTACTAAGTTTTTCATTTTAGCTACAGCTATATGTATGATGAATTTAAACTAGAAGTCATTGTCAAAAGTTTATTAAAAAATAGATATAAATTTTTATGCTCATGCTCAATGATATTGTGTTCATAACTTGATATATCATTAATGCTGTCCCCGACTCCCCAGTTGTGCTGTTGACTGATATACTTCATAGTACTCTTGCTTCTTTGAAACAATCTCCAATTTGTTAGCATTTGTCATAGTATGCGGATCTGAATAAGAAGGGAGTACTTTAAAGTTTTTGGCTGAAAAATGGTGTTACATTCATCTTTTTTTTGCCTTTTATCAGTTTATCTTTTCGAGAAAAATTCTGTATGTTCTAATTTTTTTGAGTAGGTATACAAAATACGAAGTATTAATTACGTGAATTCTACAAGTAAAAATAAGGCCTCAAGATTTATTCCTCTATTATTTTTGCCTTTGTCATTGGGAAGAAATTGTTGTTTTGTTTACCCGTGGTGGTGGGGGTTGACTTTTTCCTACCTATAACTTGATCCATAACTCAGATGTAATAACAATTGGGTATTTCTTTTCTTATAACCTATTGATAAATATAATGTGTGAAAGGAAGAGATGGTTGATGGGATGCAGGGAAGTAGAGATACTTCATCTAACTGCTGATATCCCCTGTTTAAATTGTAGCATTTAGTTTGCTACATAATACATTCTTAGTTTATTGGCTATTCTTGGCTGCCCTGTTGACCAAAGTCTATGGAATCATGACAATATTGTAAAACTATTGCTTTTTTAGTCTTACTACAGAAGTTCATTTTTTTTTTATTAAATTCCTTCTTTTTTTTGTTAGGTTATTCCAAGAATAAATTCCTTTATCCCTACCGTGAATGATGCCAATTTGGACCACCAACGGCTTCTCCAGAGGTTTGTCCCATGCTTAAGTAGGGTTGTTGGATTTAAACATTCACTTTCTAAGAGGTGTGAGGATTGCAATTTTCTCTGTTTTCACTTTTCACATCTCTCAATACATGGTAAAGAGTCAGAAATAACAATTTGGCCTCTGATTTGTTGGCCATGTATTGCTGTTCATGCTATCTATTGACTTCTTGTACCTTAACTGCTTCATTGCTTTTCAGACTACAAGTTTATGGACTCTTTGAAGTCAAAGTCTCCGGTGATGGAAATTGTCAGGTGAATGGAACTGTACATAATATGCCAATGTAGGTTTGTAACATTATATAGCAGTCTTACTAATCTTTGTCTCACTGCAGTTTCGTGCACTCTCAGAGCAGATGTTCAAGTCTCCAGACTATCATAAGCTTGTGCGTAAAGAAGTGGTCAAACAGGTAAATTCCGCATATCACCGTTAAAAGTTTTGTTCTCAAAAGAAGTGGGGTGAGAATAAACTAGACAAGAGAAGGAGATAAAGTTTGAAATGCAGTTCATTAATTTCCACCTATAAAGTGCTAGTTGATATTTGTTTTGAGTTTAGTGACAAGAGTGCTAAAGTGGAAGATAAGAGACCCATATTTCTCAACTGTCTTTTTTCTATAAAATACACATACCTAAATTTTTCAATTGGCTTGAGAAGGGAGATCCACACTTGCTCTGTAAGTCTCTTCTTTCAGTTTTCAATGTAAATTTTGGGATGAAAGTCTAAACCACCTTGAGAAGTCAAACAAACACATCCTCTGGCTTGGGGGGTACATTTTTGGATGTGCCATTGATAATTATGCACTCTTCAGCTATAGTCCAATTTTCTATCATTAGCTCCAAAATTTTAATGTATGCTATCATTTTTTTTCTTACAGCTAAAGGAGCACAGGTCTCTTTATGAAAATTATGTTCCAATGAAATACAAGCACTATTACAAGAAAATGGCAAAGTATGCCCTTTATGTTTACGATGATTGCCTTATGTTTTCAGTGATCTTTTTTATTCATTTTTTTTTTGCAAAGCTCAAGTACTTATTTGCCATCTAATTTATGCATATGCAGAAATGGGGAATGGGGAGACCATATTACTCTTCAGGCAGCAGCTGATAAGGTATGCATTTTGGCTATGCATCATATATTTTCTTGTTTATGGGGTCGCAAAATTGCTTTAATGTTATTTCCTTGTTTATGGGCATGTATATGCTGGACAAATTAAGATGTCATTTTCTATGAAACAAAAATGATATGAAAGGTAAGAAATAAACATGTCTAGTGGCCGTAATGCGGATCTAGGCTAACTAAAACCTATAGGACATACTCTTTAATGAATGACACAGTTCAATGAGTTGCCTTTGTCGGTTCAGCTCTTTGTGACAATGTACACATGCACTGAGTGGCTGAGCGTATAAGAGTCTTGAAGCCTGTATTTTAGGCAGGACTTGAAGGCCTGTGCATAGGTAAAGTAAGGGGCCTTTCTATATTTATAATTTAATCACAAATAGTCATGATACAGGCTACCAGAGTCATGCAATCACTATTGAATATTTCTTGAAAAAAATGTAATTCAATCAGCTCTAATATAATACTAATGTCTCTCAGATATGATAATAATATGACCAGAGCAGTCTGCTATAAAATAGAGAACATACAGGCAAAATATTCTCAGCTAGGTGACCAGACTACCATAGTTGTTATACACTCATCTTTGTGCATTCTCTGGATATTAACATGTTTATTTAAGCATTACGTCATTACCCAAAGTGAAGAAGATCAACTTTAAACTCCTAGCAATATGTTTAAGATTGGCTTTCTTTCACTATATATTAGATATCAAGTTTAAAAAATTATAATAAGATCAAGTTATAGGGGAGGGATCGGGTGAGAATAGATCCATATGTGAGAACCCATACCTATTTGAGAACTAATCTAAAATTTAGAACATCTAAGTGAGTAATAATTTAGAACATCTGCTTTTAGATTTAGAACGTGAGTAAAAATTTAAAAAAACCTTGATTTATAATTTAGATCATATGAATAAAATTTAGAAGATGTGATTAAAAAGTTTGGAACATGTGAGTAATAATTTAGAACATATGTTTTAAAATCTAAAATATATTATTAAAAATCTTAGAATACATAATTTAGAATTTAAAACACATAAGTTAAAATCTAGAACAAGTAATTTAATATTTAGAACATGTGAGTTGTAATTTAGGACATTGGATTTAACTCATTTAATATTTAGAGCATGTGAGCAAAAATATTGAACACCTGATTTAATATTTAGAACATACGACGAAAAATTTAGAACATAGAGAGTGTTCTCACATATGAAAGAGTTCTCTCATAAACGATGGGTTCTCACGAGAATCTTCTCATAAGCGATGGGTTCTCACATATAAAATACTACCTCCGATTCATTTTAGTTGCAACAAAGGACAACTTTACGCAAACCAAGGCAAAAGATTGAAAGCATGATTATGGAAAAATAAGGGTACATGCTTAACTATTAATCCACCCCCCCCCCCCAAAAAAAAAAAAAAAATAAATTCAACCTTAAACAGTAACCCACCACTACCACCACCACGGACACCACCAAGCATCACCCAAACCACCCACCACCACCACCCTGCAACACTATAACCATCCACCACCACCCCACGCACCTAGAAACCCAGGATCCCAGCACCACGGCCGCAGATCTGCAACCACGAAACCCACCACAACGCCGCACCCATAAACCCACGAACCTAGCACCACCGCAAACCCACGAAACCAACCCAGCACCACGGCCGCCGATGTGATCTGCAACCACGAAACCCACCACAACAACGTCGTACCCAGAAACCCACGAACCTAGCACCACCAACCCAGCAAACCCACGAATCAAACCCACTACCGCCGCTGATCTGAAACCCAAGAATCAAACTTGCAAACCAAATTGCCGATCTGTAACCCACGAATCAAACCCACGAAACCAATCCATGACGCCGCCGATCTACAACCCCCGCCGCTCGTAACACCATGAAGCCACCATGAAAATGGGGTTGGAGGAGGAGAGAGAATATTATATGGGATGAGAGTTTAATTAATTAAGATTGGGGTTTAATTTAATGAAATCTGATTTGTAATTTAATAAGGGTGTTTAAGAAAAAAAGTAAGGGCATATACGTCATTTTACAGGCCAAAAGTTACCAAATAAGGAATTTTTTTTTTGTTGCAAGTAATTTGAACCACCCCAAAATGGAAATTGTTGCAACTAAATTGAACGAGAGGTAGTATATATATACATATTCATCTCTCAACCCAAGTTTAAGTGTGTTAAATTATATGAGGCCCAATTTTCTTAAATACTATGAAAAAGTGTGTTGTAAGTATTAAAAAATAGAGGAAATATATATTTTGGTTCTTCTAGAAATAATTCACTCATGTAAAGGCATATGAAAAATTAATCTTGAATATTTTATTGATGAAAGATGCTCTACAATTAAGCTTTACTCTGAACCAGTTAGTGATTCCAGATGCTACTTAGAAATGTTATTATTTACCATCCCTTTACTGCTGTTTCCTTCTTCAAATTAAATTTTAAGTTATTTGTCCATTTTTCTTTCTGAAGGCTCTTCTCCATCTATTCTAGAAAGTATTTGAATATGCTCCATCTGTAATAATATTCCTATCAGCAGTATTTCATATACTATTGAAGTTCCACATCTTTCACCTCCTTAAAAACTAATTTCCTCAGAGTTTAGAGACTTTAAAACCCTATCATTGCTATAGGCAATGTACGTAACAAACTGCTGTATCCTAGGAATGATATGGGCATTAGGGTGGAAAAGACCATGAGAGGTTTTCCATATGTTATTATAATTCCCTAATTGTCTCGATTACTTTGTGCTTCATGGGATATATTTCGTCAACAAATTTATACATATGAAAAAATTACTTCCTCCATTTCATTTATGGCCTACATTTTTTCTCATTATACCCTAAATGCCCCACCTCATGGGTCACACTTACCCCCACAGACCCCACTAGGCCACTAACTCCTCTCACCTTTTTTTAATCTTTATTTACCTCCTAATGCCTCATCTTATGTACCCCACTTACCCCATTAACATAAATTATTATCATTTTATAATAAGATGTGACGTTTTTGTTCCTATAGTTCAAGATTTTTTTTTATTATTATTATTATTATTTTTTTTTAGGAAATAACATTGCAGTTCAATATGTACAAAAAGGAAGAATAAATTATTTAATTTTCTTCGATTGAAAAGCATACGACTTTAATGCACACTTGTTATAAGTCGTAGGGCAACTTTGTCACTTTTGCAGATACTTACATAACAAAACATTTATCCTATGAACCAAGAATTTTATTTTGAATATATGTGGAAGGATGAAGTGAAATGAAAGAACGGTGGAGCTACCCAAAACATCAAATGCAGAGCCTTAAATCATATTAGTATTTTGCTAGCAGCCTACTATACTGTGTACTTTTGGTTTATATTCCATCATGTAATTTGTTTTTCATGTGCATTTTGGTGGTTTCATTATGTGTAGTTTGCTGTGAAGATATGCCTCTTGACTTCCTTCAGAGACACATGCTTTATTGAAATTGTTCCCCAGTACCAGGCACCTAAACGAGGTATCCATGATATCTTTATACATTCTGTTGATATTCATATATTATTTGCTATAATGACAACTACAAGAAAGAGGTTGAAGGAAGCCATTCGCATGCTTATGTTCATATTTTAAAATTGATGGTTTGCACTTCGTATGATTCAGCATCAAAGGTTTCACTAAAGATGCTTAAAAAGTTTAAAATTAAAGTTAGCTCTCAACCTAAAGCAATTGTTGAAAAATTAAAGGAAATTTTTTTGGTAATTTTGAGGTATTATCTTCTCCATGATGTAACCCTGTACATTTTTTTTTGGTAATTTTGAGGTAAATTTTCTTAAGATTAATTTGAAGTAGAAAATTTTTGTAATATAGTTTCATTATTATAAGTAATGATTTATTTGAGCTGTGGATGTAAAATGACTAAATGCACCAATATTTAAATGTCCGGAAATTCTTATTGGCAACCTTATGTTTTCTCTTATATTTGGTAAACTTTAAAAAAAGAAATTATCACGAATGACCTTTTGGCTTCAGAAATATACTCCATAAAATTGTTTGAAAAATGTTTTTAGTATAATTATAAATAACATAAATCAATTCAAAAAGCTCTTTCCCTCCTCTCCCTCTCTCTACACCATTCCAGAGCACCTTTCCCCACAACTATCCTCCGAACTTTGCAGCAAATCCCCACTGCCACACCACCAACCCTATGCCTTACTGCTCACCCACCCAACCTATTGAGGTTGAAATTCTCATCATCATCCAATCATGATATGGGCCATTATCTCTTGTTTCTCCTTGCATACCCCTTTTTATTATTTTAATACAACTTTGAGTCATTAAAAGTGCATCTTGAATCTTAATACATGAAGATAGTATATGTCACTGGCAGAGTCAAGAATTTTAAACTAGGGTGACAAATAGACATTGTTTAGTTTGACAAAAATGTTGCAACACACATACACAAAATTTCTAAAATACAGAGTACTTAGTAAAAAAAAAAAAATTCCAAAATCCTGTACCAATTCTTCCTCCATTAATGTATGCTTATGTGTTTAGAATTTTTGAAGAATTGGGACATTTAATAATGTAGCCAATTAAATGCACGATTCATAATTACCTATTATAATTGTAATTTGGGGTATTGTTCATGCAAAACTACAGTTATAATTATGTAAATAAATATATGGTGTAATTATTAAGGGAAAAAAATGAATAAACACAAAAAGAAACTAAAATGGCTTGCAACAGGGATTGATCCCGCGTCCACAAGTCCCCAAGTCTCTACTAGTGGGACTTAAACGTTGCTCTATTTCATTTTTTTAGTCCCTTGTCCCTTGCTGGCTCTGCCAGTGGTATATGTAAATATATATATAATGTTATTGTATAATATATTATTGGAATAGTTTTAAACTTATAATGTATAATTTCATTATATTAGTTTTTATAATAATAGACATACAAAGGTACTAATGGTCAAGAACATGTCTCAACATGCATGAAGAGTGTTAATGAGGGTATATAAATTTTCCTCCGTACTGATTATTAATGATTAGATGAATTAACCATTCTTTTTCCTAACAAATTTAGTGTTACTTTCAGTATGGATCAAGTTCTGTGCGAGTTGAAATCCTTTGATGACATATAGAATATAAATACGCCTATATAAGAACTAGAGTGGCGTTTGGTTGGTGAAGGGTAAAAGGAATGAGATTAAGAAGGGGAAACACAGAGATTGGAAAGTTAATTCTTTATTTTTGTATAGTTGATTATTTTACATCAAGAAAGGGAATCACTTTTACAACCACCACTACCCCTCCTACAACCACAACACTTTAAACTCCTTCAGCCTACCTCCACTACTATAGCCACCGCCCTCCTCACCAGTTGCTGTCTTTACCCTCTCCAATTGCCGCCCTTCTCCCAATGTTGCCTGTCGCCGCTGCCATCCCTTCTCTCTCTCTCTCTCTCTCTCTCTCTCTCTCTCTCTCTCTCTTATTATTTTATTTGTTTTTTTTTTAAGAAAGTTTTTCATAATCTAGTTGTTTGGTTGTTTTTAGAGCGTTAAGGTTGTTTTAGGGCGTTAAGGGATGTATTTTGAGTGTTTGGGGGTTGTTTATGATCAGGGTGTTTATGGAGATGGTTAGGTTTTTTTGGTTGTTTTCGTGATGGGTATCTTTGTTTTGGAGGGTGATGTGTGGTGTACATGGTGGGTGTGGGGTTCATTCCGAGTGGGATTGGGTGGTTTCAGGTGCGCTTTCGGGTGGGAATGGGTGGGAATTTTTCAGGGTTGGTGAAGAGTGATTTGGGTGGGCGGTGATGATGGCTAGGTTGATGGGCGGTGATGACGGAACCACCACCCATCAACTCCGGTTGATACCTAAGTTGGATCCGGATGTAGCTTCGGTGAACCGGATGGGCATCCCAAAAAAAAAAAAAAAAAAAAAAAAAAAAAATCATCATCAACAAGGGGAATATAGTTGTGATGAAAAAAAATACTACTTCCGTTACATATTATTTACAACGATTAGACATTTTTCCTCTCTATTTTATGTCAAATCGTTGCAAATAATATATAACGGAGGTAGATTAAGTTTTGTAATTGTATGTATGTATAAAAATCAATTTGAATTATGGTGGCAGAACAGTACCACCAGCATGTTGGTGGAAAATTGCACTACCCACTTGAAATCGAACTGATTCATAACTCCTCAAACTGATTCCATCACAGTATTATTACATATGTCATTTCTGTTGAATTGGCCTGATTCAATTGCTGAAAAGATGTTGAACAAGAATCATTTGGCGTAATTAATTAGAATCATGAGTTCTTCCAATTCGGGTTAGTGGGGGTGGATGTGGGCTAGGAAGGGAAAGGGGTAGGGAAAAAAAAAGAGAGAGAATTTAGCATATTTTTAGCTTTATTTATACAATTAGGTCATGGAAAATTTTAAACAAAAGAAAAACAAAACTGAAAATTTCTGACTATGGATGTTTGACCTTGAATCATTTTTTTTTTTTTTTTTTTTTTTTTTTTTTTTTTTTGCGATGAAATAGTTATTATGGTTAAACTTAGAAAAACAAAATTACAAATTGTTATAATTTTCTCTAGTCATTTGTATATGCTGCATTAAGTGCTCATACCGAGTTTATTTCTTCTTAATACATATCTCCAGTATTTTATATATTCTATCATCTAAACCAAGCTTGGTTTGATCTAGCGGACTAGTGGTATATAACATGTACGATTTCTTAGGTGATGATATCAACTCTAAATAGGGCACTTTTTAGGTAGGATTACCTTACTCTTCCCTCCTCCTGCAACTAAGCTGCAAGGTGCTTGGGCTCCAACTGGCTGTAGAAAGAATATGATATTTTGTTTTTTTTAATGTACCATATATTAACTTTTTGAAAAATTATTATTATATATCTTCAATGCGTTATATTTTTCTAACATTTGAATTTTCTTCTTTGAAATTATCATTATGATGTTTAAGGGTTTCATATGAAATATTGATAATTAATGATGATTGTCTTTTCTATGATACAGATGCTTGGTTGAGTTTTTGGTCAGAGGTTCATTATAATTCATTATACGAACTCAGAGGTTTGTTCTTTGTGGAACTGGTGTATATTTACATTAACTTTATTATTGTATGCATTTAATCAAGTAGGTTTGTCTTTTTTACAGCCGCTCCTGTGCCACCCAAGCCAAGGAAGAAGCATTGGTTGTTTTAGATCCCTGGTTATGATCAAAGTCAATTGATTAGAATTAACTCTTTTGTACATTGCTTATACTTCATGTACACTAACATAAGAAAATATATTTGAGTTATTAAGCATTAGGATTCTCTTATTCTTTCATTTGTTCTCTTAAACAACCTTATTTTTGATCGATTGGGATATGCAAGATTGTGAAATTGCAGTAACATATGTTTATATAACTTATTTAGTATTTGTTACTTTTTGTTTTGTAAATAAGTTGATGAAAGATTTGAATAAATTTTTTTTGGCATTTTAGTTTTGGATATGTATGTGGTTCACTCAGGCTGTTTATGAGATTTCGGATTTCGGTGGCCTGGGGCAAAAACTTAAATCGGGGCCCTAATTCACGTATACTATATAAATTTTTTAAAAGTTGGGTATGCAAAATGAAAATGCATATTTTATTATGGTTAATAATCTTTAAAAACATCAAATTTCATAAAACATTGAAATTACATTAACGTAACTCTCGTTGAAGTAATTACACCAGCCGAACCATTCAAACTAAGTATTCAACCAATCAATTAGATTTTTTTTCCTCAAATTTTGTAATGTTTGCATGAAAGCAGTTATACAGGTTAAGAAAAATATAATTTAATACAAAGAAGAGATCTTGATGAATAAAGTCGTGTATGCACCGTTCAAAAAAAAAAAAGTAGGGTATGCAAGAAGAATTATATAATTAGATAAATTTCCGTTGAAAATTGAAGAGTTAAAGGACCGTTTTTTATAGTTTTCATCTTCAATTGAATCACGAAAGAGAAGAAATTTAACTAACTGAAAATTTTAATGAGATACATTTTGAAAAATAAAATTACCAAAAATAGGGGTACAATTAAAAGTAATGACATTTTTTTTTGTTAATTAAATTCACTTAGGAAAGTGAATAATTTGGGCAAAAAAAATAGGGAAGAAATACGTTTACCAAATATGCCATTTGATATTTTGGAACTCTACACTACTATTGTAGTGTTGTACAATACACACTTGTTGCTTTCTTTCTTTCTTTCTTTCTTTCTTTCTTTCTTTCTTTCTTTCTTTCTTTTTTTCAAATGTATATATAAGTAATACTATTTAGTATGAAGTACTACCTACGCTTCATATTTTTTGCAACTTTGGGTATTTTTTGTGATATAAAATATTACAAAGTTGCAAAAAAATATGAAACGGAGGTAGTATTTATTTTGGGGCCTTGTATTGTATTGAAGCTGGGCTTTTTAACAAGGGGCCCAGGGCAACCGCCCTAGCTGCCCTCCCCTTGCGGCCAATTATAATATGCACCCTTGTGCACACAGAACTACGTGCACCACTAATAGGACGCTGACACGTAGCTCCTTCTATGTGCACACAGAACTACGTGCACCACCAATAGGACGCTGACACGTAGCTGCTTCTTTCCTAGCTGTTTCTTTTCTTATTTTTGCAACGTATTTCCCGCGTTCTTTCCTTTTTCAATCCTTTCCTTATTTCTCCATTTTTCCTTTTCAATTATCATTCGAAATTTGGCATCGTCGATTTTCTCTCTCCTCTAGTTTTCTCTCATCAATTTTCTCTCTCAGTTACTTTCTCTTTTCGATTAATTCAGTGCTCTTCTCACCATTTTTGATTGCTCTGTTCATCCTTGTTGTTCTTCAATCTTGTTTTTGCCATGGATTTGATTTCTGTGCCTGAAGTTCTTGATAGGTGAGGTAAGATTTCTGAATTCGATTAATTTTCGTTAATTAGGTTTTTTCAATGTGATTTTTGAGCAACTTTTAATTATTGCTAATTATTTGAAGTTATAATTATCGTTTGTTTTTAATTCATTGTATAATTAGGTTTTATTTAGTTTCTTATATTTGAGATGAGATTGTGATTTTTTATTTTATAGTTATTAGGTTTGTTATTTTCTTGAATATTATTCTGAACATTGAATAATTTTTAGTTTTAATTAGTTGTATTTTCTATTGATTTATTGATGAACTAATCACATTATTGATCTATTATTTTTAATCTTCTGTAATTTTTTATTAGATTTTGATTAATATGATTCTGCAGTAGTATTATAATAATTTGTGTTGATTTTCATCATTTGTTGATTAATCTGTTCATTAATTCTTGATTTTGAACTTTCGCCTCTTTTGATTTCTTGCTGAACAATTTATGTCCAGAATTTGATAGATATACGTATGTTTTGTTCAAAGTGTTTTGAATTTGATTTCTGATTTATGAATTTTAATATTATTTTGAACATTGCATAATATTTAGGTTTAATTAGTTGTATTATTCAATTTATTAATTGATGAACTAATTAAATTATTGATCAATTTACAATTAGCTTCTGGAATTTGTTTAAGATATTTTGATTTCTTATTGTATTTTATTAATTTGTGATGAATTTTATCATTTTTTGATGAATTTAATGAATATTATTTGTTTGTAATTCGTATTAGTCGTATTATTAGTATTTTAAATATATTATGAACACTGTCATGTTATTTATTGAATCTTTATTTTATTTTATTGAACCTTTGATCCTATATATATTTTAATATAGAATTGTACAAGTAATTATGAACATCTTATCCTTTTATTTGAACTTTGTTCTTTTATTTTTGAACTATAATAATTTTTGTTATGCATTTTGTTTGTTTATTGCAGTTTATAAGTATGAAGTTGTTTATGAGGAAAGTGAAAAGTCTGAATTGCAGTGGAAACAAGTCAACAGTGATGCGGATGCATATGAAATGTATAATGATTATGCATTTCGGCATGGATTTAGTATTAGGAAAGGGAAAGTTCGATATGTTGGTAGTTCAAGTGTTTGGAGAGGCAGAAATTATGTATGTTCAAATGCTGGTTTGAAGGATACTTCTTCCAAGGTGCCTAGGAAGTATTCTAAGTTGGATTACCGTACATGTTGTGAAGCTTACATTGATTTTGTTATTGATGAGAAAGGTGTTTGGACTGCTGTTAAACACAATATGGATCATAATCATGCTATGATACCTGTTGAGAAAAGATATCTCCTTAGGTCTCAAAGGAAAATTCAAGGTGAGCATTTGAAGTTCATAAGAACTATGAAGGCTAGTGGGGTTAGGGTTACGGATTCTCTTCGTGCTTTAAGGAAAGAAGTTGGTGGATCTCCTAATCTATGCTACACTGTTACTGATGTTTACAACACTTTAGCTATTGAAAAAGCCGGCAGATTAGAAGGTGGTGATTGTAATGCTTTGATCAAGTCTTTTGCTGCAAGACAAGCCAAGGAGAGTGACTTTTATTATGAGTTTGAGGTTGATGGAAATCATGCCCTTTGTAGTGTATTTTGGAGGGATGGAAGAATGCGAAGGGATTATGAAGCTTTTGGTGATTTGATGGTGTTCGATACCACCTATAGAACTAACAAATATGGCATGATTTGTGCCCCTTTTGTTGGTATGAATCACCATTGTAATAATGTCATGTTTGGAATGAGTTTTGTTCTTGATGAAAAGACCAGCAGTTTTGTATGGTTGTTTGAGGCTTTTATGAGATCTATGGGAGGATGTCGAGATCCCATAACCTTAATGACTGATCAAGCCCCTTCAATTGCTGCAACAATTCGACAAATATTTCCAAGCACCCGGCACCGTTTGTGCACTTGGCACCTTGGTGAGAATTCAAAGACCAATATAGGAGGACTCAGAATATTAAAAGGGTTTCCAGAAGTATTCGATTTTTTCCTTAAGTACTGTGAAAGTCCTGCTGAATTTGAACATTATTGGCCAAGGAAAGCTTTCTTTAATATTATTTGAACCTTTTAGTTTATGTTTTAAACTTTTTTGTTTGATATCTGAACTATTGCATTTACATATTTGCGGACTTAATTTTATTGAATTTAACCTGATTTGTTTCTTTTTGAACATTAATTATATATATTTGAATTAAATGTATTAAGTTTTGAACCTTTCTTTAAATATGAACTATTTATTATTTATTTTCAACATTTTTACTTTTCATGTTTAACAAGTGCATATGAATAGTATTATTAATGTTTTGAACTTTTGTTGGTGTAATTTGAACAACTATATTATCATTTTGTTTATTGATTTGTTGTTTTTTGTTTTTAATAGAATGATGACAAAATACAAGTGTTCAGAAAATGATTGGTTAAATCACTTGTATGATATCAAAGAGAAATGGTGTCCTGCTTATTCAAAAGATTATTTTTCGGGTGGAGTTTTGTCATCCCAAAGGAGTGAAACAACAAATCATTCTGCTTCCAATAGATTGAATAAAACAGATGGTTTGAGTGACTTTTACAGTACTTTTATTGATGTTATATCAGAGTGGAGGAGTAAAGAAAGTAAGCAAGATTTCCGTTTTTTGAGGGGTAACCATCATCTTGCAGTAGCTAATGTTCGTTTGCTCATACACGCTAGGGAGATTTATACTATTTCTGTGTATGTTGTTTTTGAGGATCAATTTGCTAAAGGAATTGCATGTTGTCAAGAGCGGAAGCATGAAGATGATGAGACTATTTGTTATTATGTTTGGAGGCCAAATAAGGACATTATTAGGCATGAAGTTACTTATGAAAAATTTACTTTCAATATCAATTGACCATGTAAGTATTGGAGTGAAATGGGGTTGTTATGTGGACACTCTCTTCGTATATATAATATTCATTGTGTTCAAAAGATACCAGAACAGTACATAATGAAGAGGTGGACTAAGAAGGCTATGTGTAGTCATGTTTCTGATGAAGATACATGTCAAGATGTTAAAGTTGTTCCTTCTGCTGTTTGGAGAGTTCAAATGGTTAAGAAGTATGTTCAGTTAGTGACATCATGTCAAGAAGATCTTTTAGCAAGAACTGAAGTTGAGTATACTTTTCAAATGTTACGTGAAAAGGTCGAAAGTGTGCTGGGTCCAATTGATATTGAAGATGTTGAAGTTGGTGAAGAAGCTAATGAAGAAGTTGATGAAGAAGGGTTCATAAACAATCCAAAAATAGCTAGGAAAAAGGGTGAAAGAAACTACAGGACAAAAAGTACTGTTGAGAAAGCGTTTAATAAAGCTAAGTGTTGGAAAAAGAAAGTAGATAAATATAAAGATGAAGCCAGAGCTACTGTCCAAAAATTGGTTGTTGAGGTACTTTTGAACCCCTTTTCTTTTTATCTGAACTTCTGTTACTTTTTATTGAACAACTTATAATTTTATTTTATTTGCAGGTTTTAGATGATGATGGAGATCCTTTGATTTATTCACATCCAACAACACAAGGTTCAAATCTCTCTGTTCTTCCAAAGAGAAAAAATGTTCAAAGTAAAAATAGTAAATCTTCAACCAATGCTTCTCATTCGTCATTGGCAAATGTAAGTATTTGTTTAACATTTCAATTGTTTTTTTTTTATACTTTTCTATTATATATGTTTAATTTCATTTTTATTTTTAGGTTTTTGGTGATGGTGTTAGAACTGGTTTCCAAGCTTCAAATGGAAAAGGATTCAAAAATAGTAACCCTTCAACTAAATTTACTCAGCAATCTTCATCTAATGTAATTATTTTTCCAAATTTTTTTTATTTTTTTGAACTTAATTCTTTTACTATTGAACTTTTGATATTAACTTTTGAACTTGTTAATTTTGTAGGTTTTTGAAGGTCATTCATCCAACAATTTTCCAAGACCTAATTCTTCTCAGCCATGCTCATCTAAAGCTTCAAATTCCTTTTCAACAACTAATGTTCAGTCTTCCTCTGGAAATTTCTCAAGTGCTTCTCATCCAACTTTTTCAAATGTAATTTTTTTATTGAACTTTTTCAAGTTTTTCTTGAATTTGTGTTTTTAAATTATGAACTAACTTGGATTTTTTTGTAGGTTTTTGGTCATCAAGCTTCAACTAATTCTTCTCAGCCATCCTCATCAAAAGCTTCAAATTCTTTTTCAACATCTAAGCCACCTTTATCAAATGTAATTTTTTTTTACTGAACTATGTTTTGTTTTTGTTGAACTTTTTTGTTTATATTCTGAACTATTTTGAATTTTCTGTAGGTTTTTGCTCATCAAGCTTCAACTAACTTTCCAGCGACTGTTTCTCAGTCTTCTTCAAGAAATGTATCTTTTTACTTATTTTACTTTAATATATTTTGAACTTTTGTTTTTTTATTTCTGATCTTTTGATAATTTTGTAGGTTTTTGAAGGTCAATCATCCGATAATATTCCAGTACCTAATTCTTCTCAGCCATCCCCATCAAAAGCTTCAAATACATTTCCAAGAACTAATGCCCAGCCTTCCTCTGTAAAATTTAACTTCTTTACTCTTAATATTTTTTATATTTTTAAAAAATAATTTATTAATATAAATATTTTTATGTATATACTATATGTTTTGTAGGTATGTGGATCTCAAGCTAAAAATACAAAATCTTTCTTAAGAGCTTCTCAGCCACCTCTATCAAATGTATTGATAATATTGAACTTTTTAATTTTTTATTTTGAACTTTAAATTTTATATTATGAATTAATCTGAATTTTCTGTAGGTTATTGGTCATCAATCTTCAACTTACTTTCCATCAACTGGTTCTAAGTTCTCTACAAGAAATGTAACTTTTTAACTGAACTGTTTTAGATTTTTTTTGAACTTCTAATATTATAATGTAAACTTTTAACTTTTGTTAGGTTTTAAGTGGCTCACAAGGTAAAAAAGGAAATCATCTGAAGTGAACCATAACAGAGGTTTTCGATATGAGACTAGTAAATGGTTTCAAGTAAGTATGGACATTCTGTTTCTCTATTCTGAATATTTTTGTTTTTGTTTTTGTATTTTTGTTTTTTATTTTTATTTTTATCATTTTTCGTTTAATTTTTGTGTTTTTAGTATTTTGATGCTGGTCGCAATGCAAGGAATGAAGAGTCTCGTGGTGTTGGCTCTTCTAATGTTTCAAATTATGATGAAATGTTATCAATGTTTGATAAGACAAGTAATTCTTAGTTCATTATTATATATGAATATATTTTCATAGGTTTTCAATTTGTAAGAATATTCAAATTCTTATTAATTTCCAATACATACGAATATTTTTATCATTACTTTTAAATTGTTTGTTATTATTATTTTTATTTTTTATTATACAAAAAATATTGACAAACATATTTTATAAAATGAACAACTACACTTCAATATTTGAACATAATTTTAATATCAACAACTATACTACAAATATTACATATTTAAGTCAATCTTAATTCAAATTGAAAATTCAAACAACATTTGTCTTTCAAACTAAAAATTTAAACACACCAAATAAAATCACAGTTTCTTGAAATGTCATTAAATTTAAATATTAATTCTCCTCAAGTCTTCTTCTTGCTGCCATTTTCACTCTGTACCCTTTTCTATTGGTGGGGCTTAAAATTATTTCTGAACAATACTGCACCCTAAGCTTTTTCTGATTTGATCAACCTGAACATGTAAAGAAAACATATAATTATGAACAAAGTGTTAAATGTTTTGAACAAATAAAGAAAAAATATGAACACTATTGTTGAAACTCACATCATTTGCTTTTAAATCACATTTCCATTCTAGCAAAGGTTCTGCTGTGTATGTTTCCATATGTTTCATCACGTAAACACCACAATTATTATGATCCAAATTGCTTCTCCATTTCATCTTGATCAAGTCAGTTTTGAAACTTAAGACTCTTGCAACATCACTTCTCGCATAATCTTTTGTTCGCATGAAATATGTAAAAGCCTCCAGCTGATAAACAAAATGATAAATTATTTGAACACCTGAGCACAATTTACTGAACATCTGAACAAAATTTACTGAACACAGCTTAATAATTTAGTAACTTACCATCTTTTGTGGATTATCTTCATACTTTGTAGATGCTTTCACATTCATTGGAAGCTTTCTGTTATCAATCAAATCAATTGTACCTTTGTACATGTTGATACACATCAATTAGAAGTGCTTATATGCAGCCACTGGAAACAAGAATTCCCTAAATTTTTTTATGTTTTGAATTCCACTATTATTCATTTCATAGCGCAATTGAGCAAACTTCTCATGTCTTATTTCTGTGGTAGTATTTGCACTTGCACCTTTGTCTGTGCATACAATCAACTGCAATTAACAATTCAAAATAATGAACATTTATTATAAACATAATGAACATTAAAAAAAATATATTGAACAAGTTATATAAAATTATTTATTTTTATTTGAAAATGTTTAAAATTTATTTTCTTACGTATGGCATTGTGGAGAAGTATATGCTATTTTTTTTGCCCTTGATGTTCAAGATATGAGCCCAAGCATCAATAACTGTTGTATCGATCTCTTCATCTGTTCCAAGTGTCTTCATTTCTTCCCTGTTGACACTGTTATCTCCATCATGGTACATCAATTCACTGTCAATACAACGAAAAAAATTAACAAAATTAAATTAAGATTTATTTTATTATTTGAACTATGTAAATAATTATCTGAACAATTATATTGAATTTATGAACAAGAGATTTAAATTAGCAAACTTACTCATTAGGCCCATCACTGAATGCATAATCAGACAAGGTTGCATGCATTGCACTAACATTTTTGAACAAATCTTTGTATTTCATCATGAATGGGGACTTTAGAGAAGCTGGCAATTTTATCACTTCTCTTCTTGGTCTTTTGTTCGCATTAACTTCCTGTACTGTTGTTTGTCTAATATAATAATATAAAAGTATTGTTAGTTTTTTGAACTATATATTTATGTAACTGAACTTTAATTTTATTTCTAATGAACTTTATCATATATATATATTATTATACAGTTACCCCTTTGATTTTTCACAAACTTTGTTTTGTTTTCCTGCTTCCTCTTTAGATCTGTACATTTGAACATACAGTTAAAACATTTGAGTACTTAAATAAAAATATTTGAACACAAAAAATTAATATAGTAATTATATCATTCAATACTTAGTAAATACATAAATATTTTGTAGTTTTTCTGATTTCATTCAACATATTTATGCTAACTTTTTCAGCTTCTAACCTAGTTGTCCAAAAAATTACAGATTACCATTTTTTTCCAAAAAGTTACACATTACTTCCAAAATATTTACATATCATCTTCTTTTTCCTTTCTACCCTATTGCCCAAAAAACTACATATATAAGTGATGTTCGGATAGAATGACATTACCCTTCGTGATACTGAAAACCCTTTGAAATTGGCTTGCCCAAAATATCATTAAGTGTTGCATCACCAATTCCAAATATGTTTGAAAACTCACTGGTATCAAACATGTCTTCAAAAGGTAGTTCAGACGATTTTCCAGCTCCAACAGGTTCTCCCATTTGTAAAGGCACCTCCACTGCCTTTGATGTTCCTCCACCTTCTGCAACTTCTTTTCCATGACCTTTCTCTCCTCTACCTATGGTAAGTGTTAGATCAAGGGTACGTTTCTCAGCAATAGCACCTTCTCCCCTTTGATCTCCACTTTCACCACTTTCCATAGGACCCGCACTTGCTCCAATTTGAGCATCTTGTGGTGTTAGAGGATCCTCAATTTCCAAGGACCAAGCTCTTTGAAATTGAAATCCCCCCCTAGTTTCTCTTC